CAAACCGGCTTATTTCTGACTGGTAGATGGTGCTAATATTGTCGTGAACACAAACTTAATATGGCTGTGCCATCTGAATATTTAAAAATATTGTTTTGTGAATGCATAATTAAGCATTCATTTGTAAAAAAGTGTAAAAAGAATAAGTGAACTGACACAGCCTTGTGGAACACCTGTACTAATGATCTTTTGATGTGAAAGACAATTATTTACTTTCACACATTGAGTTCTATCTGTTAAAAAAGAAAACCACCACTTATTGATAAATGGGTTTACACTCAGCCACAGTGATTCTGTAATTTGTGATTTGGCTAGTTAATGTTTAATTTTAGGAATCCCTTGTCATTTTTTAATTGCCTGCATCCCTGAATACTGCCTGGTGTATGTTTTTAATAATCTTCTCCCATTCCCTCAGATTGAGGATCTCTCTGATGTCACATTCTCTCAGCTTTACCTTTCGTATGAGGAGCAGGAGCGCTCTCGATGGAGTTGGAGTGCCAGCAACATCGCAAAGAGAAGGGGCAGCAGGTGGGGGAACACAACTTGTACTGCTTTTCTTTGCCCTTTTTAGGAACAATTGCAGTTTCTCCTTTGTGTTTTGTACTTCATGATGGCAAACGAGTTAACAGTTTTAAACATGAGAGAATAATTGCAGTGAAAAACAACTCCAGGCTGTTCACTTACCTCAACAGTACAATGAGAACTTACTGAAGCAAAAAGCATTAAAACAACATCATCTCAGATGCACAAAGAAAGATCTGCTTCAAGGACATGGCAGTTCCGATGCCTGTTCCAAACTGTAATAGGTTTTGGTTAGTTTAGATGTCATTGGTCCATGTTGCATTCATATTTGTCAAACTGCACCAGAGATTGTTTGGAAGCAGTCTGAGACCCACCTTTTCTTGTTTTGTGTGCACCAAAGTTCAGATGGCAGTGTTTACACTTATTCACCGCATTCATACCAGAGTCTGAACACACATGATGATAAGGGCTAATCTTTTTCTCCACAGGTCATACAAGTCTGTGGATGGACGGACAACCCCCTTGCTGTGTGGCACAAACCCCTCCACGCCGCAGCCTTCGTCTCCAGACACGGCATATTTCCACCTGCTGCATGAGTACAACTCGGTGGCATCTCCATCCAGCCCTGTCAGTCCAGAGATGCTGATGCTGTCCGGCCTGCACACGCCCGGCTCCAGAGACTCCCAACGGCTGCTGTCCAACGAGGACACGTGCTGCTCCACCCCAGATACCTACGAGGAAATGGTAGGCGCCCGATATAGAACCACCATTGATAAATTTCCTAGAATTTATGATGTCTAGTGTTTCAGGTAAAGCTAGAGGCTTTATTGTACGTTCAAAGTCACATATGCTCAGTTGTACTGCAGTACACTTAACCCTTTAGGCGCCAGGGTTTTTTTGGAAAAATGCTGGATTTTGACATCAAGATTTCAAAAGCTTGTGGCTTGAAAGGGCTTAAAGATAGAGATCTAATGTAAATTAGAAAAATGTTGGGCATGACCGAAAGTTTATGTGGGGTGTAAATATACTCATCTAATTTGCATATTATGACGTCATCAGGGGGCGGCCCTCCTGAATGTCATAATATTCAGGAAATAATAGATATTGAATTGATGTTTGAACTTATTTGCGTGTTGTTGTTTTTTTTGTCTTTTTATCCTCATTCCAAATGATCAGAAAAGGAAACCAAAAATAAAACAGGAGAAAGTACTCTTTGATTAAGTATGACGTCTTGTCGCAATTTTGCAACTTTGGCGCTAAGAGGGTTAATACAGGGGCTGTCCCATTGGTGCAACTAAGGTGGAATTAGGAAACGAACAACCTTCCGGTTACCAGACAGATTTTTTTTGCCCTTTTGGTGCATTTGTCTTATTATGTGTGCAGATATTTACTTTGTGTGTCTCTGTTTGTCCCCTACGGGCTCCCCAGCCAGTACAGCCATGGGAATGCCGGACATTTCCGCTGGATGTGGATCCACAGCAGGAGAGCGAAATCCATCACAGTCCAGCTGGCGAGAGGCCCTGTAGGACCATTCGACGGGTGTCCGGGTGCAGATCGTCCAAGTCGGAGTCTGACGCTGGGCCTTCATCACCTCTCGGCGATGACGGCGCCAAGCAAAAACAAACCAACCCACCCAAACCTACTCACCGATGAAGCCTAGACTCTGCCCACCCACCAGCTTTCAGAAACTGAAACAGCAGCAACGTAGATGAAAAAAATAAAATAAAATAAAATGAATGAAAGTCCCTGTTGTTTGATATTCAAACATCAGTAAATTCTTTCACGGTTTTTAGTGAATTGTATGGAGATATATATTAAGACCTGTTTTAATTCAGTCTTGCTTTTGGGTCACCGAAGAATAAAAATGTTTAAAAAAATAAAAAGGAAGAAAGAAATTAGCTTGAGGGCTAAACCAAAATAAGCAGCTCAGAAACGTATTGTATATCGCTGAAGAGCACTTCCCCCTTAGCATGCTGTTGTACTGAGGGGCTCAGCTTGCATTGTGTGTGGTACCCTTTCAGATTTTTCCAATATTCCACATAAAATTACTCGTTCAGCCTTGCGGTTTATAATGGAGTGATAAAACGTTAAAATGAAGCCAATAATTATGATTACAAGAGACTTGCATGAAGGTACAGATGCCTGTCTTCATTTTTAAATAATTTTTTCTCTACACATTCCCTGCTTATTATTTTAAACAGACAAACTTCCCCGTATTTGATGCCTGGGAATTGCATAAATTCCGATATCTGGTTTTGATTTCAGTCCCATGTTCTCGTGAATACCGTGGTTTGTCTGTGCCCCACTTCTGTCAAAGTGACGGAGAGAGCAGGTGCCTTCATCGCAGCCAGAAAACGAAAGTGACGAGTTGCTCTCATGCGCTTTTTAAATGCCACCGTTTGATTAGAGCACTTAATTGGTCTCTTGCACGACAATTGTCCGTAACCTTACAATCAGCACCTGAATAAACATGTGCAGGACGCTAACATTTGAGACTAGATTCCACTCGCTGCAACTCTGTAACTTATCATTGTGTAATAAACCGTGTAATTTCTCATGTGGGTGTGAATTTTGAAGCACTTGACGTTGCTATGCATGATCAGGTTAGTCCAGAGAACGTGCAGTCACTCCAATATAAACTGAAATGTGCTGACACTTGACTCGGTTTTTCTTTTGACTTAGCTCCAACCCCATTTAAAGGAGCTCTTCCATTGATTGGTCAGGTCTAAACTTCTTGTCTTCGTTTAATAAAACGCAATCTGCAATACCTACAGCCATCATCGAATCCCGTAACTTGATGTTCGAGTAATAATGTTAGCTGGAGTGCTTGATAAGAAAGGACTTGGCAAATTTTCATTTGCTGGCTCCTCAGTTGCTGTCGGTCACAGCCATGTTTTGATGAGGAATGATTTCTGTTAGTTCCCCAGTCAGTGAGTCACTGCTTGCAACTCCCTCCTGTTATTTTAACTAATACGAATGTACAAGTCTAATAGCGGACACCAGTTACTTAAGATTTTTATAAGTAGCTTCTCTGTATCCGTCGTCACACGTTTCTAGCTATTGTAGCCATTTGTTCTTGTTTAAGGGATGTCATGTAAACCAGAAATCCTTAATATATTCCTTTTCACTGGAGCGTAACAGCGATCATAGTGTCAGAGAAATCTCATCTTTTGAGGTTGTGTGGCAAATCGTAAGGGGACCATCCACGACTGTCCCATTTCCTGCTGAGAAACCCACCGCCCCTTTCATTCTTAATATCATTAATTATGGTTTTATGTCTCTTTCTGTGGGGTTCTGTGTACTTATCAGGCAAATGTACCATAAGGTTTGACTAGCTTTCAGAAGCCAATATTGTATCGTGCAAGTTATTTTCATACTTTGAATTTCCAATGTGGTGAATGAGGTTTGGGTGAGTCTGGTATATCCTTTAGCATGTAATAGTTTGTACAAAACAACAACAAAAAAAGTTTATTTTGTACATACCTTGTTTGATTCTTTACTGTGTTTGATGTTCAGGCTGTAGCTGTCCTGATTGTCTAGGGAGAAGACACATGAGAATATTTAACACTTTCTTTATGGAGAGGCAACATGAAAAAAAAAATGTTTATGGATAATTGGCCGATCTGACAGACAGGCAACGTTTGTGCTTCTCAAATTAAAAGTGAATTATATTGTACTCAAATGTCTTCCGTCTTTCTGTTGTCCTATAAATTTTCAATCCGGTTCATATATGAAGCTTAAGTTAATTCATTACAGATATTCTGCTTAGATCAATAAGGATTTGGATTGAACCTTGCATTTCTTTAACATTTATATACATTTGAGGTTTTTATATAATGTGAAACCTTTAGAAACCCATTACAATTGTTCACACTAATGTTAAAGATAAGTGCAGAAAGGTTGTGGTAACTCATTTATCTGCACTGTAATGACCTAGATAAAGGTTCACTCAGGTAAAACTACCAGAAACCGTGTGAAAGAAAGCTAAAGACCACTAATAGTTGGAAGATAAAAGCAAAAAAAAAAAATCTACAGGCATGTTCTTCGAGTTAAGTGGAAAGGCACAGCTATTTACAGTCTTTATACTGACGCCTAGCGGCCATAATATTGCAGCACGCAAATTCGGAAGAATTTGGTTACCAAATACATTTTTTTTAAAAGTGCTATTCGCCTTTAACCGTTATTAATTTACTCCGTTCCACAGTATTCGTCTTGTCGTGGTCTGAACACGAGGCGACCCCCGCCATGTAAATTAAAACCGCTTTCATTTGGCTCCTGTCCTGATGTGTTCATGATTTTATACAGATTTTTCAATAGGCTATTGTTTGTTTTTTTCACATGTGAAACTTTTTACCTCAGAAAAAAAATTACATTGTACCTTTAAGAATGTCTAGTGTTTATAACGCGTTGCGTGCACTTAATTATTAATTAATCTAAGGGGAAAAGGAGTAATCTTACAAAAACAAAGGACACAGAAAGCAGTTTAATACGGACTTTATTTCCAAATTCACGTTTACAGCAAGGAGTATCAGTGTAAACCAATTAATAAAACACATTACGATAAAGACAATCACAACTCTCAAGCTAAAATGAAGAACTGTGAAGAGAAGAGCAGAGGCGGGAAATGAAACGGAGGAGAGAGATAGAGAGAGACCTCGCGACCGGTCAACAGATTACAGAACCGTCTGAAACAGCTAAAGGGTAGAATTACTTAAAAGGCCTTATCCAGTGCCATTTTTAAACATTTTATCTGATAATTCTGTTCTTCAGCTTAACCCACACGTCTAAATGCTCAGGTTTATGTTAGCAGCATGCTGTTCAAAGGACGGCCAGTGTTGGGTTTACAGCAATCCGTCTAAAGCTTCTCACGGTCATGTGAGATATATGTGGCACTAGGCAAGTCCTTTACTGATATTGTGGATTCTGGATGCAAATTTCCCCCTATTTTACCTAATATTATATACCTCTTTCTAAATGCAAGATATACAATCTAAATGAGTAATGTAGTTTGTGTAAAGGCAGCTCTTCTGTCAAATCAGTGCAGTCACTTTCAAATGAGCATAAAGCTCTGCAATGCACTGCGGATATTAAATAAAAAGCTTAGTGTCAGACCCAAATCAGATCATCTGAACACATTCGTACATCTTTTACATCGTCCACACAATACTATTAGGAAAAAAAGAGTGCAACATAAACCTGGATTTTAGCAGGTAGCTTCATTCCTTCAGTCTTCCTCCACTTTTTTTCCCTCTTTCTTTGCATGTTTTAAGATGAGTTAAACGCTGTAGTAAAGGTGGTTTTCTAAACAGTTGGACGGGGATGTGGTGACTGGTTACTTACTATATTCAAGACCATGGGTGAAGTCCATTGCATGCTGGGAATGTGCAGCGTGTGAGCGTTGTGGTTTGGATTGATGACTATATTGAAGGCTTTAGTACTGAGGGGAGCTTGGCTAATGTGTTAAATGTCCTGCTCTGTGAATCAACTCTGTACGTGACTGAATCCATCTTAGACCACAGAGAATCTTTAAAACAGACAGTTGTTTTCTCAAATGCAGCTGATGGACACCGGGAGGCACTTTTCAGCTGTCTGTTCCCAATGAGATTTCCCGATATGGTGTTAGTTATTTTATTGAGTGCTTTGGACCAATGCAAAGGACATGAGAGGATTTCATACACATTCTTTGGAACAGCATTTTATACGCAGAAGCTGAAATCCATCAATACAGAAGCATCGTGACCATACAGAGATGAGTTAAAGAAACAATGAGAGAATGTACAGAGTGATATCAGTTTGATGGGGCTTGTGCAGGGCAAACTACTTCAGAGCTCAACAATAAGGATGACAATGTGATCCGGGGCCTGTTTAAGGCCGTCACTACATCTTATATTTGGTCTCATAAAACTTGTTAATCATAGCAATCATTTTTGTTTTGAAAACTGAAACTTCAAGCGATGTATTGGATGCACTGAAATGGTTGTCATTAATTAGTAGATATTATCAGTAAGGTTTTGCGTTATATGACATTTATAAAAAAAACAAAGCTGTGTAAAAATGAATCTTTCATGGGAGTTAAAATTTAAATTTTTTGCATTAAATAATTGTAAATAGATCATCTCTAATTTTTTAAGACAAAATGTTGCTAAAAATAAAATTAATATTTTTTATAATATTTTCCAACAAGAGCTTTATGCCAAATGTCATAGCTTTCATGGCGTTACATTTCTAATTACTTGCATTAAATCATTTTAAAAAGACAATCTCAAATTAAAATGTATATTTTTAGACACAACATATGTTGCTAAAAATGTAAACAACTGTCCAGATAGACAAAAATCCTTAATGTTGAGCCCTGTACTACAACAGCTTTATTTCAGTTTTGTATGATTTTTGTAAATTGACATTTGCTTTTTTCTCAAAAGAGTCACTAGAGGCCAAGCGAGAAGATTTCATACAGCGATGCAACTTCCAGTGCAATCGAGGACAGATAAGCCTTGAGAATTTGCTGTGGTGATGAATGAGGATGTACCGTTTTAAAGAATTCACAGACAAAGTCTGGTACAGAAATATCTAATTTATGATATTAGAATTACAGTATCCCAGACAGATCTGAATAATGATTTATCAAAGTCTTTACTATTTTATTTTGGACCAAACACACAATTGAGGTGTTTAGTGAATTTAACAGCTTTTATTAAGGAACAAAACATGCACTACAGTGACCGCTAATGTGTTTGATTGAAATAATTATATAGCAGGCCACTATTGCTGTTAAATATGTGTCCGCTACAGCCTGATTGCCTCAAGTTTTACCTAAGAGCGTTTGAAATGTTTCTGTCCTATCAAATTCATAGCCAGTATCATGGAACTGCACCCTTCCAAATCATGTAGCATGTTTGCCTTCCCTACTGCTGCATGTCAAAACAGGAGTGCATAAGTTATGGTAAATAAAAACATTCACAATAAGGCAACGAAGCAAATACAGCTTTGAAAGCAAATGTCATTGTTGTTTCTTTTAAAAAACGGGGTATTAAACAAACAAAATCAGGCTACTCAGTGCTGTAAATGACCATTTGGATCAATACACCACCAGCTCCTTTTAAATTGTAATTTTTTCTTTTGATGATACTAAGCCAATAACATCAATACCTGTCTCTCCGTGCCAGGAGGCAAAAATTATTTCACAAGCAGACAAGCCGCTGGGACAACCTTTAGTTAGGAGAAATCCGACAAGCACCTTATTTGAAAGGACTGAAGGAGAAACATTTTTAACTTTTTTTCAATTGCCGACACGCTTCGGCTGGCAGCTCACAGGCCTTGTTTAGCGAGGGAGGCCGACACCTGATCAGCTAGCGTGGACAGCTGCGGGGAGTCGGTCATGTTGATGCTGCCGGAGGAAGACACGTTGCTGAGGCGGCGGGGCGATCCATCCGTGGAAATGTCGGGGGACCGGCACACGATATCAGCGCCGTGGTCGGTGCGCGCTTTGGCTTGCTCTCGGAAATTTAGCTTGTGGCTCTCAATCTGAAGGAAGAAAATTTTGGATTAAATTGGATGGATATGAACAATTGTCAGGTTTTGTAAGATAATACATGCATAAAATAAAATTAAAAGTCGTATGTATTGTTTGGGGTTACTAAGATTTTTTATTTAGTTTATCACCAAGGCTGCATTTGTTTGATCAAATACACACTAAAACAGTAATATTAGAAATATTACGATTCTTATTTTAATATATTTTGAAATGTAGGCCTAATTTTATTTATTTTTATCAGCCATTTCTCCAGTCTTCAGTGTCACACGATCCTTCAGAAGTCATTCTAATATGCTGATGTACTGCCCTATAAATAATTTTTATTATTATCAGTGATAAAAACAAGTGTGCTTTTTTGTGGAAACCATGCTTTTTTTTATTTAGGATTACTTGATAGAAAATAAAAAAGGCATTTATTTGAAATATATTTGTAGCATCTTCACTATCACTTGTGATCAATTTAATGTCCTTACGAATAAAAGTTTTAATTTCTTTAAAAAAAAAAAAAATGGTTTTGAGTGGTAATGTGTTATAATCTGCTATCCCCGTTTTATTTTCAGAGACAGCTGAAGGTCATACTGTAAGGCTGCCCTCTAGTGGACTTACATGGACAACATGATGCAATATGGTAAGGTGGGGCTTGTATACTTATAAAGCTGCAGCACTAGTCTTCTTATAGTGATTTGCATATACCTTTTAAACCCATTTTAATAAGCATAGTTATATTTGCTCATATGAGTGGGACCAGAAATGTACAAAAACATTTATTATAAAGATAATGCACAATTGAATTGAAATAAGACTTGTTACAGTGCTGACAAAATTATTCCTAGCACAGAAGGACATAAAAACCATGACACCATAAACTGACACTTCATAATTTCTGTGATATACTTACTGAGGCCCTCTGACTTAACCAGACTGTTCCCTTCAGAGGGAAGGTCAAAGGTCATGTCACCACCATTAGAGTGAACAGCATCCCCATTAGAGGAAGCATTTGCGGCCTGCGGCTCTGCTTCCTTCCCCTTCTCCCTCTACAGCGTGGACGCCACATAGTTCACAGGGTTATGGGTAAACAAAACAAAATGGGTTGGGATGCAAATTATGAAATGAGGTTATGAAGGGATAAAACACACTCACACGAGAGGGAATGCTGGGAGATGGGGTGAAGCGGTCTCAACACTTATCAAATATTTCCAAGTAAGAGTGCCGATCTACTCTATCATCATCTTCCTTTGGATCAAATAATAATGTCCATCAATAAGTTAAGAGCAAAAACTGTTTGATCAGAAGACTAAAGTGAATCCATAATTATGATGTACTGTATCTATTGCTAGACTAAAAAATAAATACATTTAAACATGTCACCACCCACCATAAAGCATTCTTCCCGTTTCACAACAATTAAGTTGATTCAACCTTACAAGTGGACCAACTTAAAGTATATGACATTTGAATGAATTCTATGAGAGTTCTACTGATTCATTAAAAACTTTCATCTGAGATCCAGATCCATGATTTTACATAAGCTTCTTATCTTTAAAGTGCTGCAAATAGTTCGCAGATCAGCACTCCTACTTGATGCCTGAATGTTTCTGAATGTGAACGCATGAAAGCAGCAGCACAACACAGGAGCAGCAGATCACTGAATGGAAGAATGGTTAGCACTAAGCAAGGGAGCACTAGAAAATGCAGTGATCTTAAAAATGATTGAAAATGTGCTCAGTAGAGAGAGAAGATGAAGGAGAGCAAGACACTCAGCTTCTATCATCCAGTAAATCCTCTGCAGTACGTTTATTTCATTTGTTACATATATAAAATCATCCTACTTCATTCATTTAATACATCATTATAAGTAATTCATTAGAACCTATAATATTAAAGGTGCTGTATGTAAGTTTTTGACTCTACTAAAGCATAAAAATACCATAATATGTTTGCAGAAATTTAAGAAACATGCTAAGTTAACATATTTGTTTATCTGAAAAACAACGCTACAGTCAGTTGGCGGAAAACACAGCGTATTTCATTTAAATCATGTCAAGTGTGCTCGTTCCTGTTGGTGTCGTCAATCTGGCAACCTGCCTGTGCATCAAGTCTGAGGAGGAGCCGGGTGAAAATAACCCTCTCCAATATTTTGAATTTGGACTGCAATACCTAGTTCAACCACTCGGTGTCAATCATACATACAGCACCTTTAAATGTAATACCTTTAGACTTTGGTTTTGTGTGTTGAGACTACATTAATTCAGATTTAATGAGGCAAGGCTTCATAAAGCTACAGATATTTTCATTTACTCACTCTCATGTCATATGATTTTCTCCCTTTAGTGGAACACAAAGTAATTCTGCATGTCCTGGCTGTCTTTGAAGCCCGACAGCCCCCATTCACTTTCATTAAATGAGAAGAGGAGCCAAAACATTCTGCTAAACGTCTCCTTTTGTGTTCCATGGAAGCCATAAAGTCATGCAGGTTTGGAACAACATGAAGCGAGTAAATACAGACCGAGTTTAAGATTTTGGATGAAATAAACATTTAAATAAATAATGGACCACGGGATAACATTTGCTCTAGATTAGGTGCAGAACAGTAGATCTTAAAGGCATCTCAAAGAAGTTGGCAAAAATATGTGCAAAAGAAGTACATTGAAGTCTGCCAAGCAGGAGGAAGCATGCTGACCATAGCAAGATCTAACATGAAGGAAACTTTCAAGTGAGTATTGCAGATAAAAGTAGATAAAAACAGTCAAAATGCAACACATTGTTGTCTTACGCATTTGTATTATTGTGAATTAATTCTACATCCAAATGACAAATAATTCAACATAGTATTGCACATTTGTGACTCATGGCGTTGTGTTTAATAAAGTCAAGAACATACCTTCTTCTGTCCACCCTTAGGAACATGTCCAATGTTCTCCAGAGATCCAACCTTTGACTGGGCTTTGAAGTCCAACTTCTCAGATTTGATCTCCACATTTCCACCTCCTAAAATGCAGATAAAAGTGTACAACTTCTGTTTAAATAAAACCTTTCCCATTTGTTTTTAGTTTACTGGAGGTGAAGATAAAGTTAGGGATGGCGCTTCCAATCCAATAAGGTACAGTAAATAAAATGTATAAAATTGTACATTATAAAACTTGCATAAACAATGAATAAGCAATATTGGTTGTCGTGTTTGGCCTAAAAATGTCTTATGGCATTTTTTATACTATTTTTCTTCATATCTGACTGAAATCTCACCTGGTTTGTGATGAATGTTGCCCTTGGAGTCACACTTTGATTGGACGTTGCTTAGGTCGATCTTTTTGTGCACTATCTGAACCTGAAGCAAGAGGAACAAATAGAGTCAGTTATCAACCAGAGCATTTGGGAAGGAAATGAACCGCATGCTCAGGCACCTGAGGAGCTGATGATCTGGAGTAGGAAAATGACCATTATTCACAACAAAAAGGGTTCATGGGACAGAGAAGCAACTTGCTTCCATTTATAGGCCACCACAAAATAGATATAAATCCAATTTACTATACCCACACTTCATGCAAATGTAATGGAGTGACGTATTTCAATTTTGGAGTAAAGTGTGTGCATATAGACTGGGTTGACGTCACATATATGATTGACTGTATTACTGTCTGTCTGAATACGTCTTGAAGGGTATTTAGAATTGAGTAAATACCCTTTCAAACAAGAATTAAGACATGAAAATTTCCCTCTCTGTCCCAAATACTGAGTCAGAAAAGAGATTCACTCAATAAATGCATCACTCAATATTTTAGTCAAAGGCACCCAAGGGCTTATAGAGGGAAGAGACTGTAATGCAACAATGCATGTTATATCTGATTTACTGTCTCAGGAGAAATTCAGATATAACTAGATTTACTTCTGAAGGCAATACCAGCACTTGTAAGGCAACAAAACAGCATCTTTGGTAAAATGATCCAGAATAGAAGAGAAAAAAAATAGCACACCTAAGGATGAAATTATCTACAAAGCAATGTCTGAATTGAGTCGTTAAGTAGTTCAAGGTGATAAGAGTTGCAAAAAAGTGTGCGAGGAAGAAAAATTAGGTATTTGAATACAAATGAATGGATTTGAATTTGCCTTGCAAGCACTGTAATGATGCACATGCTCAGTTTCAAGCACTCAAGTAAAGATCCATATCCCTTGGAGTTTTGTTTCTGCATATCTGACTACCTGAGACCCCTTCACAATCTTCACCTGCAGAGGAATTTATGGTACATGCATGCAGTCTACACAGCAGCACATCTGCAACGCAGCAACATCAGTCAGCAATCCGGGTGCATCACCAAGAGGAACCAGGAGGAACACCAGGTAAGAGGAGACACCAACACTGGGGATTCAGGCAAATTAATTGAACCTAATTTTGAAGAAGATGTCTTGCCCAAATGCATTGCCATTGCAGGCATGCCGCAGTCCCTGGGTTAAGGTTATGAGTTTCAGGGTTTGTATTACCCAGTTATTGTATTCACTTCAATAAGTACATAGCATGTACATGTAGAAGCTAGAAACTAGCATAAGGCTAATATGCTAAAATGTAAGATTATTGTATTTGGATTATAATATTACAATAAGTTTATAATAAGTAATAAATAAGCAATTAAGTAATGTTCAGGCTCAGTAGTAAGTTAAACATAGGTGAATGAATTTTAATCTAATTTAATCTAACAGTTTAAAAACAATTATTTCATACTGTCTTTTGGCTGTGTGGGTGTTTAGCAGATAATACTTGACTTGTTGATGGAGAGCTACTTAAAAGCTTTGACTGTGGGTATGTGTGTCAGGGTTTCATTAGTTACAAAAGGTAACTATTCACGTTGAGTGTGCAGAACTGTCTTTGAAAGCTTTGCATACTTAAAGGGATAGTTCGCCCAAAAAAGAAAATTCTGTCATTAATTACTCACCATCGTGTTGTTTCAATGCCCTAAGACTTTCGTTCATCTTCAGAACAGAACTGAAGATATTTGAAATGAAATCAGAGAGGTTTCTGTTCCTCCACTGACAGCCTTTTTTTTTAAAAACGGTGTTTTAAAATGAAAACGATCCTCGTCTACACTTGCATTTTTACTGCATTTCAGAAACGTTCTCCGTTTACACTACACAACCGAAAACACATGTCACATGACCATTCATGCAGGTACAACAATGAGCATGATGTTATTGTTTACATGGTCGTCAAGCATACGCAGAGCGAATGTTGGCAGCCACGCACGCCATCGTTTTCAAAAGTCTCAGTTTTGATCCGTTTACACTGAAATGTAACCTCTGAGTTTTCAAACTAAAACGGGGTCTGCAACGTTTTCGAAAGTCTCCGTTTTTGAGGGTCGAAAACGCCAGGGTAGTGTAAATGACAGGCGTAACCGTAGCAAAAGTTTTGCGTTTTCAAATAAAAACGCACTAGTGTAAACGCAGCCTACGCAACTGACACTTGGAAGGCCCAGAAAGGGAATTAAAACATCATGGAACTGGTCCATGTTACTCCAGTGGTTCAACTATAATTTTCTGAAGCGACGTGAAAGCTTTTTGTGCACAAAAAAAAAACTACCACTTTCACAATTTTCTTCACTTCAATCTCCAACGCGCGTTCACGAGAGCTTCTTCTTCTTTTTCTCCCATCCTCGAGAGCACCACGACACATGCATGTTGTGTTGAGGCGAGAGCACAGCTCTTACGATACAATCCGTACCAGAAGCACTGTACTGTTTGCAAGCAGAGGAAGAGGAACACTGCTGTAATATTTGTAATAATCTCTGAAGAATTCGAAATTGAGGAGGACTTGCATTTTTTTGCCCAGCCTTACTTATTCAAACCAGAATATACAGACAGTGCTTTGAACCACTGGAGTAACATGGACCAGTTCCATGATGTTTCTACTACCTTTCTGGGCCTTCTAAGTGTCAGTTACTTAGGCTGTCAATGGAGGAAAAGAGAAACCTCTCTGATTTCATTTAAAATATCTTAAATTGTGTTCTGAGGATGAACTAAAGTCTTGGGGGTTTGGAACAACATGAGGATGAGTAATTAATGACAGAATTTTCATTTTTGGGTGAACTATCTTTTTAAAACTGTCTGTTAGAAATATGCAGCAGTCATAGTCAAAGCTTGAGGTGTTTAAAGGCTGGAATCCACTACACGACTTTTAAAATCTGAAAAGTTTTTTAAAACACAAGGATCACACACTACCAGACTTTCATGTTGTTCCGATCACAACGAACTCACGCAGAAACATGCACCTTGTTGCTTGGAGACGTGTGAAAAATGAAAACAACGTGTTCTAAAATCAGCTGAAAATATCAAACATGTTTGATATCCTCCGACTGGATGGAATCATAGTCTGATGCTAAAAAATCGGAGTTGAACCATCATACACTACGCAATTTTCTATGGGGTCTGACAACTCAAATCTGCAGACTGGCTCTGACATTCGGCGACTAGAGTGAACTTCTCCAGACTGTAAATCAAAACAAAAGTAGAATATCTTGTGTAACTTAGACATAAGTGGGAAATATCCTGAAGTATCTGCTCCAATTCACAAATCCTTTTACAGGATATTTCATGTACATTATGTCTGTGTAGGGTCCTATTTTAATCAGAAACAGCTGAAATATAATGCTATATTTGGTTGTTTTTCTCTTTTTTCTACACTATTTTACAACTACATCTAATGTTAACTGCTTCTAACGATACAATTTTTCAGAGCAAGGAGTTCTAACCCTACCGGTTACTCACATTACCACCACCAGGAACATGCTTGATATTGTCTTTGGATCCACATCTAGACTGAACATTGAAAAAGTCGATCTTCTTCTGAACAATAGTCACCTGGAAAAGGACAAGGAGAGTCAAGAGTGTAAACCTGATGCTTTGAGTTGAGCTGCAGATCCCAGGCTCTGCAAAAAGGTTTTTTTTTATGTCAAAAAGGACATAAAATTGCTTTTCTGTGTTGACGTACTTCCAATTTACAATCTGAAAAAGGTTAACCAACAGTCTTAACTAACTAAAAGTTAACTAACTTATAGGCTTTTCTGTCAAATATCTGAATCTAAGGAATGGGGTTCAGATAGAAATAATCCAAATGTCCACATAAAAAATGATTGGCCTACTTCCATCAGACAGGGTCAAAGTTGTCTCCTAGAGCTTTATTGTATCAAAGTCGTTCAACTTCACAATAAATGCATCCAAACCAGCTGGCTTTTTTTTCAGACATTTGATTTTACCAGTTGAAAATCAGGCATGACAGAATTACCTTCCCGCCTCCAGGTTGGTGTTTGATGTTCTCAGTGGAGCCGATCTTGGACTTGATGTTCTTCAGGTCAGGCATGGGTGCAACAGGAGCAATCGGGGCGCGAGATCTCAATGAACCAGGTGATTTAGGAGGGGTGCGCACCACTGCTACTTTCTTCACTTGTTGTCCAGGGGTAGAGGACCGACTGGCTGGGCTGTTGCAACCACTACGGTCTGGGGTTTTAGGTGAGTCAGCTGACGATGAAAAACAAAAGACCATATATTTTCCTCCTTTTTTGCTCTTCTAATTATTTACTCTTTAGTTAATTATCCTAAAGTAAAGCCTTCCAGCCAATCTTTGAAATTTTATGGAATATGTAGAAGCTGTCATGGAATTTTGTGCACTGTTTTTATTATTTTAGCAGTGCAGATTTTTCGATTGCAAGCATTCGATTGGCTACCGCACAAAAGAGGCATTTCTTTCTTTATTTTATTTTTTTTACCTCTTTCAATGGACCCTGGTCCTGCCTTCCGCTGCTCCATCCATGAAGCAGCTGCATTTCACAAATCAAAGTGGTACAAATCAGTCATGAAAATTCTCTATAAATGGAGAATCATTCCCTTGGGATTTTATAACCTATTTCAAGTAGGCAGATATTGTGTACTTCCTGAAGACTGGTTAAATCGTACACAGTAAAATGATGGGAAGGTGTGCTCACTTTTGCAGTTTGCCTTGCAGTGAATACACTGAAACACAAATACGTCCAGGTTTTACTCGCTAATTAATTTGTAATCAGTGCACTTCTATTTGTCATGTCTTGCTGAATGCTGGAGTGGGCTTATGCCTTGGGAGAATGCATTAAAAAAGGGAAATGTGTTGTAAATTGTGAGGACTCCATTGCCTGAAAGTGCTTAGTTCACATAATAACGTTCAATTTCCTTTTCAAACTGTCAGGAAGGGAAATTAAATGTCGAGTCACCAAGTACCCTTCCTTTTCATGGTATTAAACAAAGATAAATGTGGACCCTTGAAAAGATGCATCTAAAAATCACTTACCAGGGATTTTGGTGCCAACTCCTTGGGGTTTGGCACCCACTGTCTTCGTCTTGGCATCTCCAGCCTAAATATAAACAACAAAAATATTGCTAATACTAAGTCTTCTGCTTTTTTGAGGGAGTTTTTTTTTATAATTATCTAAATTTAACCATTTAAATCCAACAGTACACCCAAAACATGACAGAAATCCATTCTTTAGCTTCTCTTTCTGCTCTGGTAATAAGGATGTTCATGTTGTGAAGTCTCAGGTGCTGTAAATTCAGTCCTCTCATAGGTTTCCATTTTGGGGGGACTTTGTTGTAAAATGTTCACAACAATTTCACAGCAAATTCTCTTGGCCAATGGTTAGGGATGGCAGACAGTACTCACCGTGGCCCTGGACTCTCTTGCTCCTGCACTGTTGGGCCTTTTTACAGAGTTTGCAGAGCCTGGACTGCTAAAGCGACAAATGGTGGAGTTGAGGAAGAGACTGAGGGCTTTTTGCTGGGGATGCCTGAGACTGAAGACCCCTTTGGGGGACAGAAGTGGGTCTAGCTTTTGCATGCAGGGTTGTGGTGGGTATCTTACGTTTTTGAGATTGTGATAAAGACAAAAATGTAAAGCAATGGCAAAAAGCGGTCAGTAAATTAACTTAAAAGTTAAAGAGATTCTAAAATGCAAGGAAAAATAAAACAAAAATACCAAATTTCAAACTAAAATTGAAGATGATTTAAATTAAGTGTAAATTAATTTAAAGACAAATCAATGACTCCTCTCAGTTGTTGTGTATTTTAACTAATCTGGCTACAGACTTATAGCTGCTTTTCCCACAAACCATAATATTACACATGGTAACGACTGTACCTTTTTGTCAGGAGTTGCCCCTGCTCCAGCCTTGGCTGTAAGAAAAGAAGGAGCAGTAAATGTAAGCTCATATATTCACATTTTGGTGGCCTGAATCAAGACTTAAAACTTATCTAGATGTCAGTCTACTTGATTCAAAGAAAAGCTTATGTTGATATGTTTTACATCAGTGCTCAATGTGACTTATCAAGTCCTGTTCCCAGAAGCAGCGATTCCAGCCTTTAATTTTTCTGTGTTTGTTTATGATAGGCATTAAGAAACAAACACTTATTACAAAATGGAAATTCTGTCATCATTTACTCACACTCATGTTGTTTGAGTTTCTTTCTTCCAGGAAACAGGGAAGTTTATTCTAAATCTTATGAAGTCATTCTTTAGTTTTATATGAGAAACAGACCGGAATTACTGAAAATCTGTCCTAGCTCTTCTTGGTGGATTCATTATGAGAGTTCATGAAGGAATTCTCTTAGGAGTGATCTCTGATTCATATTTTAAATGAACTAATGAATCCAGTTCACACAACAAATGAACTGGTGAACTGGTTTGGTTTTCAATTTCAGCTAACATAATGATCTAGTTGCCATGGTAAACAGTCCAATGGAGAAGTGGGGATTTCCTTGAACCCAGTCATTCGGGTTTAGTGTAACAAGAGGGTTAGTAAATGATGACAAAATGTAAACGTTGGGCAAACTGTTCTTTTACAAGGACCTTTTTTGGCATCATTCGATTTGTGCTCGACCTTGTTTATTATTACAATATGCAAATAATTAAGAATGTTTTAACCATGTACAGGAAAAAAAAACAGTAGATTTTCTTTTCCCGAAGTAAACAGCAGTGCTTGCAAGGCAGCAAAAGAATCTTTCTATCTGTGTAAATAAAATGCACCATCAGAGCTGTCATTGCTGCTGTCATGACACTGAAGATGCATCTTATTTTATTTTGGTTTTGCACAACAAGAATCAACACATAACTTGACACCTTCAGTTGCTCTAGATGATTAAATACATAAAGATAAGAGGAGACCAGTTGCAAATTTATGCAGAACAAAAGACCAACTGCAATTCAGAATACAAATATTACAATGACATCATCACAGTCACAGTTTTGAATGGAGAATTCAGTGGAAGATGAAACCAATGGCCAATTGGTTAATTAAAATAAATTTATTTGATTTGCTTATTAATCTCTTACGTACATTAAATTTTTTTTAATTTGTTTGTTGGTTTATTTCCAAGCCTACAAAGTAAAAAGAAGAAGTGTGGAGAAGATGAGCAGAATGATTCAGCAAGTTGCCTTGCAAGCACCAAACTTAGTTTGCTAGATTGCTGACTGCCAAAAGATTGCCTTGAGATCGTTTGCACAAATGAATTTCACATTATTGAGTGAGCTTGTCTGATCTTTTTGTAGAAGATGTCTGCACAGCTGTGGGAGACATTTAGAGGGCTTTTGTCTTGAACCCAGCAGCAATTGCTGACCTTCTCCTTTCAGCATGTGTTATAGTCAAAACCCCATTAACATGGGCCTTTGGGTCCACTTGGTTGTGTTTAATAAAATAGACATCTGGGAAAGGGGTGGACCCATAAAGGTAAAGCACAGTTCTGTGAGTGATACATTCAATATACATGCACAGGTGACATGCAACAGAGAGGGGCAGGTGAAAACTGTGCCAGCGGTAACGGTCAATCAATGCACAGAGTTAGTCACAGACACAAGCGAAATAACACTGACCACACACAGAGACGGAAGTAGAAGAGATAGACACACAGTGCACAAAGGATCAAGAGAGAGAGAGATTTTGTGGCTACAAGCAGCCCGTTTCTTCAAACGAACACTCTTATCGTAGTGTGCGCTTTTCAGAAAGGGTGCTGCATAGTTCTACTGATCTACTTTAAAAAGAAGAAAAGGGAAGGAGAAATAAAGAAGATCTGTGAGGGGTTTGGAGGAACAGAATGGAAAAACAGACCTTTGGATGGGACACTTGTTTTTCTGGCCGGAGCAGCATCTTTAGAGGGAGTTTTCTGAAGTTTGGGAGCAGATTTAGGGGAAGGAGTGGCAGCAACTGAAGCAACGAGTTTCTTTGTTTTTTTGGCTGGAGATTCTTTGACAGGAGCTGCTTTGCTTTGTGCTTTTGTGGGCATTACTTGGGCGCTGGGCTTAACGGCATCCTTAGCTTTGGCGGCAACAGGTTCGGTTTTGGCAACAGGTTCAGGAGTGGCAACAGGCTCAGGAGTGGCAACAGGCTCAGGAGTGGCAACAGGCTCAGGTGTGGCAACAGACTGGACCTTTTCCGTATCAATGTGATCATCATCGCTCGTCTCCAAATATTTCTCCTGCTTGATCTCTTTTGCTTCTTCAGGTTCTCTATGTTCCTCTGCCTTAGGCTCCATCTTGGGTGCAGCAACTTCTTGAGAAGACAGAGGAACGGTGGTCGCCTCCTCTTCTTGTTCAGGTTCTGGTACCTCTACTTCCTCTTCTTCCTCCCGAGCATCAGTTTGGAAGTCTGTTAGAGATGATTCCTCTTGGGTACGGTCGGCAGCAGCACTGGGAGAAAGAGGTGATCCCGGATCCGCCCTGCAGGAGTCGGGGCTCTTGCTTTCTGGTGGTGTTTTGTCAGAGCTGCATTCCCAGCCCACAGGACCACCCTGATGACCGGGATCCTGAGGTTCTGTGTAGTCAAACGATAGGCCACGTTTTTTAGCTTCCTCTGGGGTCATGCGAAGATGAGTAGGGGTTTCATGTTCGTCATGAATGTTGTCGTCTTTCTGGGTTGACAAGTCTGGGGTGACAGAACTGGGCACCAAGGAAACTCCAGTTTCTTCCTCTTCTTCATCACTTACTACTTTGTCCTCTTCTTCATCCTCTTTTATGTTGATAGCACTTTTGGGAGCTTCTTCCACACCAGGAGAAAATCTTCTCTCAGACTTCTCCATTTCATTTTCTTCTTTCTCCTCCTCCTCAGATCCACCGGCACTATGATGGTCAGTCATCTTTTCTGAGGGACTCCTCTTCACCTGGCTGTCAAAACCCGTGATGCCTGAACCCAAATCATCAGCAAGAGTGGTCGGTAGTGGATGTGGAGACATTGGAGACTCTCTTGGGCTGACAGAGCTCTCCTTTTCCCCATTCTCTCGCTCTCCCTCCCCATCCACTGATGCCGCACTGCTCCGGCCACTCTCGGGCGGCCTTCCGGGTGTTAACTCTTCTGATGACGTGAAAGGCAGAATAATGGGAACAGCCACAGACAACACTGCAGAATTAGCAACACTCAACCACCCTCTCTCCACAGTTAACATTAGAAGCAGAAAAAGAAAAGGAATCAAGGAACTGAAAGGAACTAAAAGCACAGAACCACATAAAGGGCTCAACCACAACACAAAACACAAGTTTCTGTTTTCATGTCAAGTTAAACAGTCCAAAAATCTGTTTTTACACACTATACTTTGAGTTAAAGGCACTTTTACAAAATTGTTGCTTGGTAATCTAAATTAGCAAGCAGTACATTACAACATGGTTTGTACTTAAAAAAAAATTGGTTACTACAGTGGCAAAAGGAGAGGGTCAGTACAGTAGGGTCAAGGGGTTATGGGATCAATGCTTATAAAAGTGCCTCTTCACTCATTCAATCACAACAAAAACAATCAAAACCATAAATAACAGTATTAACTGGCCAATCAGACAATATCCACAATGACCCACAACATCTCTGTGAGCTTCAGTGTGTAAAGCAAAATGACCAGTGAAGCAATGAATTGGTGCATTGTCCATTAGCAAGTATCATTTAATGCACGGATAGAACCTTCTGGATCTGATCTGAGCAGTAAATCATATGTTTCACATTGTGCTGTGAATGGATTTGAAGGAGTATGCATTCAATTATAGTTTTAATTGAAAGCCTTGTTATTCTCAAGACTTTTCATTTCTTAGATACAGTGGTGCAAGATAAAGCCAATATAAACAGATTTAATTAGAAATAATATAGAAGTGGTTCCCATTAAGATCTCTTATTTGATTTTTGCATGTATGCGCAAGCAATGAAATGAAATTGTGGTGGTATATGAGCCCATGTTTGTTTAGATGTAAATCATCTGAACTTTTACATTGCAGGGGGATAGGGGGGTGGTGAGCCCACCATACTTTCTCCAGCTCCTGCTGTCCCTCCAGACCAGTCAAAGTTGTGTGATCACATGGAAGCAAGTCAAAAGAACAGATGAGATACGGAGAACATTAACAGCAGCTTTGGGATTCTTTTGCCCAGTTTGGTTGGTGAACTGATCTTTTTACGTATAAGTAATTTTGCTAATAAAATGCCTTGTAAAGATGCTGATTTTATGTCCTCTATGGGTGTCAGACAAGCACACTGCTTATCAACCTATAAATCACAGGAAGCAAAGAAAAATTTTTTTTTTAAGTTAACCCTTCCTCAATAGCTTTAAAGTAAAATGGGTGTATCATATGAAATGAATGGAGAAAGTCTACATTATGAATGACTTTATAGACATTTGATCTCTCTGGCAGTTCATAACAAGCAAGGAGCTATGTAAAGTGAACTTAGTAGCCATTAAAGTTGCAGACCCATTTCAGCCGTACTGCAAACATCAGCAACATGTTCTTTAACATTAAATATTCAGCTGATGGCTAATGGTAGTCTAATACATTTACATCGCTCCCAACTTCATAGAACCAAAGCATACAACATGTGTAACGCCATCTTAATGCCTTTGTCTCAACTAGACTGCTAATTCTCTGACAAGATCAATGAGTTTGTGGTTCTGGGAAGTAAATGATAAATGAAGCTTGTCTTCAAATTGAAGTCCATTCGCTCAGACCTTGAACTTTTGTGAGGTAATTATACTGTACGTCCTATGTAATGGCAGAAGGTGGTCTTATTGATATTTGTGTGTGTGTGTGTGTGTGTGTGTGTGTGTGTGATTATTTATATTATTATTATTATATTGTGTGCAAATATATTCATTTGTGCAATTACTGTATACTATAAATTCTAATTTAAATTCAAATAGTGCAATTAAAATAAATTAAACGACTACAGAATTCCATTAAATGTGCATTATTATATCTCTCTTTTGTGAGCAGTATTGTTATGTGACTGCTCCAAATAAACTCAGATGTGTGAAGAACATGTGAAGGCTTCTGTAGTGTAAAGTACAGCGTTTTGATTTCTCTTTTTTAAATTCATGCAAGTGTAAATATTTTTGGCTGTTACAAGTTTTGGCATTTGACAATGAAGCGTTTCGAACAGAAATATATTAACACTGCAATATTCTATAATAATAATAATAATTAGAGCTTTTATTAACTCTTTTGATTTAATAATAGCAATAATTCTTCAAATTATTATTTTATTATTATTACAGCCTATATGTCCGGGTCACGGCACCAGGCAGGTACATCTATCTAAGCCATTAGCAATTCTAGTGCTTATTTCATTTACTCACTTACTGATTCACCGTGTAAAATACCAAATGGATGCTCTGGGCACTACTATTTAGTCTAGTACGCACCCTGCCCAGAACTTACATTATTCTCTTATGCAAAAGGAAGAGTAGAGTAGACCTGCCTAATTGCTCTATGACAAGTATTCTGGGCTTTTACTGTCCTTGAATCATTTAAAGAGATAGTTATGTTGCTCAGGAACACTACTTCCTTTTGCTACTGCATTTTGCAACGTTGAAGGCATGCAATTAGCTTTCAGTGAATTTTTTCAGTGCTACTTTACATCAGCATATCACAGCATCAGCGAAAAGCAACTCAACTCAAGTTTCCAAAAAGCTTCAAAGAACATGGCAAGGTCACTCCTGAGAGCTTCCAGGCTTATTGCTGGTCCAAAAAAGTCAATGTAATTTTCACTGTTAACAATGTAATAAGCATTTATTTTTGGAAACTTGTTATAAGCATAAATTCTTATGTTAGTGTTAAGGTTCCCACTGTTTATACCATGACTTTTCCTATTGTTAATTATTATTACATATGTTTTTTTTTAATAATTGTATAGAGATTTCGTCAATGATTTCTATTTGTACATTAGTCGGTTTGTAAAATCACAAGAGGTTTGAACGTGGCTCAATGGAGGATTTGGCTTTCTCCATAAATAGCATAATCAGGGAAATTTATTGTCACTATAAATTTGTTATATAATTTCTATGACATTTAAAGTTGTATTACTTTTCCAAGCCTCTTTCAAGTTCTCAGATTTTTTCCATATTTTCCATGACCGTGGGAACCATATAGCCTGGACTTGGGAAAATTATAAGAGAAAAAATGTTTATGTTAATAGGCATTAAAATTAAAACTGCAAAACCACCTGGAAGAGCCGTACGTTGGAAATCAAAGCATAGTAACAGGATAAAAGCAGCATGTGTGGACGATAAATGGCTAAGTATCTAGCACTCTCATTTATCCATGAGAAATATGAGAGACTGGCTTTCATTGCAAAAAACATTCAAGTGCCAGTTATTTAATGAATAATTTCACTGATAATTATGCAGAAAATTTAATTTGATTCATACTATGTAGTTGCATTGCATCCTTGGGAAATGAATCAAAGCTGTGTCCAAAATGAAAGTCAAATCAGTAGCGTAATAGGGAGTAATGGGATCAAGGGAACGGGCCCTATGAAGCTGAGCAACAGACAGGACAGTACAGGGAAGTAGAGCGGCACAGCTGTAGTTAAGTGTGGAGGGTCATACCCAATGGCACATCTTTATCAAAGGAGGGTTTGGGTTCGGAGTCTTCAAAAACAGGCTTTGGGATGGTCACTTCAGTCGTTGGTTCAAGTGTGTCCTCTATGAGAGAACGGTGAACTTTTAGTTTGGACAGCAGAGGACTGAGGTGGTTTAGATGGCAAACAAAGCAAAAATTATATTTCTATTTCCTTATATTCTTCTAGCTGTCTTCTAAACAAAGGATGAAGTACAACAGGACCTCGATGCATCTGTTAGTATGTTCTTAAGACAAAACAGCTTTTCTTAATGGGTAAACTAACTCTAAAAGTCAGCATCATGCTGAAAATCGACACGTATCAGAAAGGCGGGGCATAGAGGAGAAACAATAATGTACAGTATGTGGAAAATAATGTGTTTTTTGAACCTTAAACGGCATTAACACATTTCATTACACCAAATACACAAAATAATGTTCTTTTTAGCAACATCATATGACCCCTTTAACTTTATTTTTACAGAATTTGTCATTTTAGAGTCATTCTGCACTGATGACTTCTGCCAGCACAATTGAGCTGGAATTTCAGGTTGCTGGTTGATAAGAAGGTTTCGTCTGTGCTCTGTGAGGGAGCCTGGGGCTTGCTGAAAGCTTGTCAGTTGTGCCAGAACAATCCATTAAGTTTTTTTGTAAACTATGACCTATTTCCTCACATCTGAGTCTCATCCAAGCATATATCATCAGAAACCAAAAAAACAAATCTACAATTAATGTTATATGACCAAATTTAAATTGAAAATAACTATTATGAACACACAATGCAGGCAAGACAAAATGTCTTATAAAAGCTATTCTTAACTGAACATAATTTTCCGACAGTTGAAGACATCTCTTTTGTCCAAAATCCTTAGGATAAATTTTTTTTTTTTTGTTATAGCAAATATATTTACAAAGCAAGTTCTTGCATAGCTAGGAAAATATATTTTCTACATAGATATTTCCACAATTTTTCCATGCAGTTTATTCTTTTCTCTGACCTTCCCAGACCTGGAAATCGTGTAATTTTTTCCTTTTGTTTCCCAGGTTTTCCATTGACGGTGGGGATGCCTTAAAATTGAAGGGTTTGTGTACCACATTGTCATAAGACTCACAATCACTGTGTAAACCATCTCTCTGAAGGTGAAAATTGTGATTGTCATCTCCATTGTCCTTCAACACATGGAAAATAAGGCCCAACAAATATATTCAACAAGACATTTTGCCACCGACCTGAATGAATGAATATCTTCACAGACATTTGAAACCAACACATGGCTGAGTGGTGTCACTGTCAGCATATGTGTCAGGTTTCTCAGTATGAGACGAGACATAAGCAAAAAACCACACTGCCATGAGTATCACTCAGCTCTTCTGTGCTTTTGTGGGGAAAAGGGGGTTTTCAGCCTTACAATTTTTTCCTCTTTTTATTACAGTACCTACATTTTATTTCCTCTTTATACAGACCTTTCACTGGCCCATCACCCGTTCCCATATGTGCTGCTCTCCTATTCTTCATGTCTTGTTGATGGCTGTCATCGATGGTCATGTTGCCTACACCAGATGCTATGTTGTTCCCAGGAGAGTGCTGAGAGTCACCCACCTGTCCAGAATTCATGTGGTCCTGATGGTCCATTTTGAGATGATTTCAGTCTGTAGAGTTAAAACAGAAAACAATTATCAGAGATTTAACGTGGCAATGTGACAAATAAGTACTGCATTGCCTTTTAGCCACAAGATGTTTCCTCCCTCACATTAAATTAATATTATTAGTAGCATTATCAGAGTAATGTACATATGCACAGACATATGTAGTTGTTTGTTTGTTTGTTTGTTAGGCTTGCCGCAATAGACGGTGTTGACGGTGATACCGGTGTTAAGCCGCAACACCGGTTACGTCACTTGCCCACCGCGTCACCGACCCCCACCGTCGTTTAGATTTTTTATAGAAATAAAAATCTTTTAGTTCAGTAAAAGAACAGACACTATGTATTTGTTTTGTTAATAAAAGAGTTCTATGTTTTATATACGCTAAAGTGAGTTTGACGTTGTATTTTGTTGTTGCCTTCAAGCAATTGACGCGTAACTGACGCTAATTCAAAAGTGAAAGTAAAATGCGCACGGCGCTTTTAAGCTATTTAAAAGCAACGGAAAGCAAAGGAAAAGAGGGAACATTCAAACGAACTAAAAACTAACAATTGCTTTACGCCGAATTGCCGCTATTTCAAAGTGAAAGTAAAATGCGCACGCTGCTTTTACAAGCTATTTAAAAGCGAAGGAATGCTAGGAAAAGAGGGAATGCCCCGCCCCCACGGTGATACCGGTGTTGTCACACGTCGATTAACCGGTGGGAAAATTTCCTCACCGTCACAACCCTATTAGTTAGTTGATTGGTTGGTTAGTAACCTTTATTAAACTATGATAAAACTAAAATGTTAGATGTTAGTTATTTAGTTAGTTGAGATTAAAAAAGGTGATCTGGCTCAGGCAGGAGCAACGATCATAACTTGTTCCAGTGTGTGATACAAAGACTTACATAGAGTTATAAGTTAGGTTGTTGGTTTGTCCGTTGGTTAGTAAGCTTTATTTAACCAATAAAATTATGATGTTAGTTGGCTAACTTTGTTAGCTGAGATTAAAATAATGACCTGGCAAGAGCAAAAAACACAATAACAAGAAGAGTCCATTATTCTGACATAAATAGAGTGGGGGAACTATGACGTCAGAATCCGGAAGTGTAATTCGCCGCGGGTTCCTTCGAGATTTTCAAGTAAAGTAAAATAAAGTTTGTGGTAAACATAACTTGATGATACTTTTACATTTTGTTCTACACTCAAATTTTGAAGGAGTTATGTTCATTTTTGAAAACTTATGTTTTTAATAAGTAACTAGATAAGAACGTTTGGGCTGTGAGTGTGTGCAGTTTACATTGTAAAACAAAACACAAAAGTATCGTCAAGTTATGTTTACCACAAGTTTTATTTTACTCATTAATTGAAAAACCCCACAGGAAAATCTCGAAGGAACCCACGGCGAATTACACTTCCGGGGTTCTGACGTCATAGTTCCCCCACTCTATAGGACTTTAGATGTAAACTAAAAAATGAATTATTACAGCTAACGAACAAAGCAAGACACAAAAATGGCATTCAAATACCATAGAGACAATTTGCGAACTGCAAATTGGGGTGTTAAAACTTCTGCTAAAAAGAAGAACAGCCAGATGCGTAGTATCATTTGACCAAAGACTAATGACAACTGTTTAAAGAGAGACAAGATGAGTAAGCAAATGTTAGACCACAAATCAGCTGATAAATAAACCCAATGTGAGCAGTGAGCATTCAGTCTAAGCATTCAGTAATTCTTCTGTTCTGCTCAGTTTGATTTTTATTTGTTAAAATGTGTATCCTTTATGTAAAACAAGTTATTTTATGTGGTAAAAAAAACTATAAATTATAATTAAAAGTTAATTTCAGACTCTTACCAATGTTTAAACATTCCCATGGTACAAAGTGAATATCTGCCATGGTGAATGAAGCACACAAAGGGCAATAAGATTACAGGAAAGAGCAGGAAGTGGTAAGAGACCTTTCTTCCTCAAAAATAGCTTCTGGTATACAGCTTCTTAACATTTACAATACAGCTTCTTAACAACAACATAATTGCAAATGTGCACATGGTCTCCATTATAGGTAAAACCAATAACTGACTGACAGAAAGCCAATCCAAGTCTCTCTGCCAGACATAGAAGGTACCAGAACCTTTCATCCAGTAAAGAGAGCAGGACGAGATATTATATGAAGGTATTAAATGATGGATTGATGGCACTGAGATTTCCTTTTCTCTTAAAGCACGCCCAGAGCAGGGCACGCAAAATTTCAAAATCCCTGGTAGCCCTTCTGGCAGTCATTCTTCAGATTTTGGTAGCCCAAAAATGAATTTAACTAGCCCGAATAAAAGATATTGTATTTTTTCTTCAAACAACAAGTCTCTAACAAGAGTAGGGGTGCAACGGATCACAAATCTTACTGTTCGTATTATAATACATTATCATATCACATTTTGAGTCACAAATCGGATCATTTTTCAGATGAGCAAAAAAAAATGGTTCTTTAATAGGCCTATTTAAGTAACACTTATTATTTCGATACCACAGCAAAAAACTTGTAGCATATAGGGATGTAACGATTCACTCAACTCACGATGTGATAT